AACTGAATTTAAAATACATAGCAAGACTCTGTCACATCCCAAACTTATTCAACCAAACACTTTAAAACCCTAGCAAACTTCATACCACAGCTAGAATTAACCTACATATTGCAAACTTGCCCCATGAGGCATGAAACTGATATACTATATACAAGAACCCTACACATAAGGTAGTTCATCCTTTTTATTTGTTTGTTATCAGAAGAGGGAACTAAATTACATTATAGATGGTTATGAGCCATCATGTGGTTTCTGGGAATTGGACTCAGGACCTTTGGAAGAATAACCAGTGCTCTGAGCCATCTTTCCAACCCCTCATCCCTATTAAAACAAAGATTAATTTTACATAAAGCAGACAGTCTAAAGTGCAAATATTAGCTTTCTCAAACATAGAATCATTGGAATCCAGTGTGTAGACTCAAACATCTGTATCTGTCCTTAACCGTGAGGGCATTTTCTAGAGTCAGTGAATATCACTAGCAATGCACTTGAGCACATCTAGAAAATTATCATCATAAAAGCTATGGCACCGTAGAAAACACACTAACCTCACACCATACTATACTCATGCTACATACTCATACTTCATACAAGATAACCTAAAATCTATGGCTTTACCTCTGCCAAATGCACTTGACTCCTTTAATAGAAAACATAACTTCACACATACCTGATTAGGCACAGACCAGAATCACAAGAATTTCACTCATAGGCTCTACTACTTAACTAGTTATTCAAATGGCCTCATTATTATTTATAACACTTGGAGTCACCTTTCTATCATAAAGCCACCCCACATGAATATTTGTTACTCTAAACTCTAAAGTGTAAAGGTACCACTTTATCAGCAGAGGGATTTTCTTTACCACTGCTTCACTTTACCTTATCTGAATTGCCAGACCATATCTAGCCTTGCCTTAGCATATAGAGATGTACTGATCAGCCTAGAAATTAACCTCTCCATGTGCAGCCTAGGTCCAAGGTCTTTTTAGTCTCATGACACATACCACAATGAAGAAAAAAAGCTATGGATAGAGAGATGTAATCCACAACATCCATGTGACATCATACAGCAACTTGCCTCACATTTGACAAATTCAGAGTCATTTCATCAGATGAAACTCATCATACTACACTGAAACTCTAGCAATGTTTAGCCATTTATATATGGCATTCATATGCTTTGAGTCTCTCTCTCACACACACACAGGCATACTTGTGATTAAAAATGCATAAAAATGTTCATGCTTACATAGACAAAAAGTTCTGTTTATTATTAAAACAACATATACACAAATAAATGCACAGAAATCATAACCTATGGATATGTATATATGTGTGTATATACAGAGATGCATAAACACTTATATGTGCACACACCAATAAGACAAAGTGGATTCATGAGGAGTTTTTATATGCATACGTGCATACTAATACAATATGTATAGAGAGTTGTACATACAGATACATTGGTCAGAGTTACGTACATATGACTATACACATCCATAAAAACAAAACTACACAAATAAACATATACAGATACAAGAATGCTAACAAAAATGGATGTAGACAAACATTTTTATAGCAACTCATTCAGATTAATAAGAATATGCTATGGAGAGGACCTAGGCCCCTGCTCAGATATAGCTTTTGGGTAGCTTAGTCTCCATGTGGGTTCCCTAGTAAGGGGGGCAGGTCTCTGACTTGGACTCAGTGGTTAGTTCTTTGATCACCTCCACCTGTTGAGTGCAGACTTGTCAGACCACAGAGGAAAAAGATGAAGCCAGTCCTGATGAGACCTGACAGGCTAGAGTGAGATTATTCATGTTTTAGAGATGAGAAAACCAAGACACAGAGTGCTTTGGTTGAGGGACATCTAGGTAAGGGGAGCAGGACAGTCACCGGCATAAACTTGCTTGCCTGCTCTTTGGTCACCTCCCTGTGGTGAGGCTGCCTAACTAGACCTGATAGGCTAGGGTCAGAGAGTAGGGGAGGAAGACCTCCCCTATCAGTGGACTAGGGGAGAGGTGTAGAGGGGAAGAGGGACAGAGGGTGAGACCAAGAGGAAATGAGAGAGGGTGCTACAGTGGGATACAAAGTGAATAAATTTTAATAAATAATAATAATAATAAAGAAACAAAAGGAATATGCTAAGGTACATAGATATCCAGAAATAGATTCACAAAAAACTCATGCATATACAGAGAACCAAAGTTGTACACACCCATATCTATATAGAGAGATGACACAGAAATGTCTACAGAGGCAGAGGTGTATATGCAGGACACAATGCACCAGTTTACACACACACAGTGATCCAGAAATATATACCTATATAAGCACAGAGATATGCAAATACACTCAGAAGCATATGTATTTATTAAAACCTGTGTTCACAGACATAGAAATATGTTCAACCACATTGAAAGTATGTAGCATGGCTTCAAAGATACACATGGGCACTTTAATCCATAATTATATGTATAATGGAAACACTGATGGACATTTATACCATAGAGGGAGGGAGGCAAAAAACAAATCCATGGACCACGATATACCTTCTATAGGCATCCACAATCCCCGTACACCCTCAGTTATCACATTTCACATGCCAGTCTAGAGACATAAACATTGACACGTACATGTACAGATTCAGTCTGTGTTATAAATTTCATTAATTTGCATGAAGACACATTAGTATTAACAAAAATGTACCTACATAGGTATGCGGATATTCACATGGATGTACATCAAGTAGATAAATTCATAAACACTGGAGCACACATGTAACAAGTTATTAGATATAAATGAAGAGACTTCCTGGCAAGTATACTTTATGCATACATATCCTGTATATACACAGATGCATAGACACAGGGAGGCTTACATTGATGAATATAGGTAGTCAGCAAAGCATGTCCACATAGACATAAAATCTCATAGATACATACAGAGATAGATACCAAGAATTCAAATGCAGCTCTACAGGCTTTTGTACCAGCTTGGATAGAGACACACTAAGAATCTTATAAACATGTGCATGTAGTGCTCTGTAAATGCACTCATTTATGTAAACATAATTGTAAATGCAGATATGCACTTAGATACCATACATTTTCACACTAAATACCTAGGCAGACCATTTCTTAAACAAGAAGAGTTATACATATATATATTTAAAAGTAACATACATAAAATACATTTGCAAACACGCACATATTTGTAATTGCACACATATACAGCTATATCCTTACATGTTAACACTTACACATGTTGATGCACATACTCATACTCTACCATAGTGCTCTACATATGGTCTCCTAAGCATTTAATGGTACACAAATTCTAAGCCTACATCAAATAGATGAATGCACACACACACACACACACACACACACATATATATATATGACAAAATGGGTGTATAGATGAACACAGGACTTCATGCTACAAATAGAATCAGACTTGCATATACACAGACATATGTTGATTTATATTGTGAAAACATAAACTTCCAATCACTTATAAATGAACATACAAACTTTTAAAATAAACTCATGAGTTTTAATGTGGCTTTGTTTTTAACTTTTAGAGAGCAACAATTATTAATCCCACCTAACTGACTATACTGTATGTATGTAGGCATGGAAATTACCAGAAGCATCTCTAAGACATCTTTAAGGCACATGAATGTGCACACACACTTCCATGCATACAAATTCAAACATATAATTCATATGGAAGTGTAGAAATACGCATTGTATAGCCAAATAAAGAAAAATACATACATAGGCATACCTACACACTGTTGAATTGCTGTGCTTTAATACTTAAATATTGAAATTTAATACAAAATAAATCCTACATCTTCATCCAAATTCTGGCATTTACTGGTTCAGTGATTTGGGGCCATTTTCCTGCCTTCTCACCTGTGACAGAGGAGTAAGCATAACACTTACCTTTCAGAATTTTGGGAGAGTTTGTGTAATGGAATGCTTAATATTGTGCTTGGAATATCATGCATGTAGATGGCACTGAATTTGTTTCCTTGTTATGTTTGATACAAACTGTTTAGTGGCATAGGAATAGGTTTTTATAGATAGTTTGCATTGTATCATAATATATTATTTTATATTTGTAATTGCACCAATAAACATTAATTTATTAATGATAATAGACTATGACCGCAAACAAGGTCATGTCTCAAATTCTCAGAGATTGTAAGAATTTGCTACTGTCTTTGGGAGAAAGACAGACTCCAGATTTATTTTTCCTGGTTTGTTGCTATGTGTATTGTTGTCATAAGTATACCCACAACCCCTTTCTGTTTTCACAATTAAACCACATTTGTGAACCTTTAATGTCCCACTTTAGATTTTTAAAAATTTATTCTTCTCTCATGTGATATATTCTAACCACAGTTTCCCTTTCTTCCTCTCCTACCAGTCCCTCCTCAGTTCCCCTCTTGTCCAGATTTACTCCTCCATTTCTATTCAGAAAAGGGCAGGCCTCCCAGGAATATTACTCAAACATGGTATATCATGCTTCAACAAGACCAGGGACAACCCCCTAATATCAAGGTTGGACAAAGAGGAAAAAAGATTTCAAAAGAGTCAAGGACAGTCCCCACTCCCACTGTCAGGGGTCTCACAAAAACACCAAGATACACAACCATAACATATATGAAAAGGACCTAGGTCATACCCTGATTGTCTTTGCAGTCTTTATAAGCTCCTGTGAGCCCTGCTCAGTTAATTCTATGGGTTTTCTTGTGCTCTCCTTGACTCCTCTGACTCCTCTAATCTTTCCTTCTCTTCCTCTGTATGATTCTCCAGGCTTTGCCTAATGTCTGGCTGTGAGTCTCTGTATCTACTCTCTTCAGTTGCTGGGTGAAGCTTTCTGATGGTGATTATGTTAGGCTCCAGACTACAAGTATAGGAGAGTATCATTAAGAACATTTTGTTGATCTTTTTTTCTGACAATGTTTGATTCTATCCTAGGTCTCTAACTTCAGATATCCTAGGCTATCCAGCCTCTGGTTCCTGGCTGTCCAGGCAGTGTCAGGTATGGGCTCCCTCTTGTGACATGGGTCTCAATTTGGAATACTCATTGGCTGGCCATTCCCACAAGTTCCTTACCACCTTTACCATTGCACATCTTGTAGGCAGGACAAATGGTAGATAAAATGTTTTGTGTCTGGGTTGACGTCCCAGTCACTCTACTGAAGACTTCCCTGGTTACAGGAGATGACCAGTTCAGGCTCCATATCCCCCATTACTGGTAGTTTTAGCTAGGGCCACCTTGTAGATTTCCTGGGAGTTTACATTGCACTAGATTTCTACTTAACCCCCAAATTCTGCCCAATTCCAGTTATGTCTCCCAATACTCTTTCCACCCCACCTGATTCCCTCCTATTCCCATCCACACCCACAAAATCTATTTTCCTTTCATAGGAAGATTCATGTAACCTCCCCTCTTGAATCCTCCTTGTTATTTAGCCCCTCTGGGTCTGTGGATTGGAGCATGGTTATCCTATACTTTATAGCAAATAAGTGAATACATACCATGTTTATAATTCTAGGTCTGGGTTACCTCACTCAAAGTGATTTTTTTTTCTACCCCCCCCTCTCCCGACCTGGGATTAATCTAGCCACAGTACAAGATGGAGAAAAGGCTGCATGCGTGATGTGCATCTGCCACATAGTGACCACACTGAGTAAGTACAGTATTTGTGCATCACCACAATTGTCCCAACATAACACTCTGAAAAGCTGTGTACGTAAGTTAACATACATTACACCATAGTGGTTTCTGCTATATTCTGAAATGCAAATGGTAATCAAATAAAATTGTACCTTTCACAAAAAAAAACAACCTATCCCCATTTTCTTTCTTTCTGGATTTTCCTGATATCATTCTGCTAGTAATTTGCCATGTAAAAGCACTTTAAAAAATGGTAGACATTACTTGCACATTTGTATTCAAGTTATAATCTGAAATTTAGCATAAGTTTACATATACACAAAGCTGTCATTATTATAATGTAGTGAATATGTAACTGTTTATACTTTAATTATGTTTATAAATTGTAATTTAATCACATCTTTATTATTATGCAATAAAGTAAAATACCATCCTAACTTGTTGATTTACTAGAAAAAATAACAAAGTCTTTGGCAGACAATTTTCTGTCTACTTCTGCTACTATTTTACTATACTTCCTTTACATAATTCATTCTAATGAAATACATTTTATGTTTAAAATGCCTTTAATTCATCACCCTACTACATCTCTACAGAAAATATATGAAAATGAAAATAAATTTTCTGGTGGGTATTTGCCTCTAAATATTAAGATTTTATCATTAAATTATTCGTATTGGACATTTGGTCTAAAGAATATAAAATAGCATATGTTGGTTCATAATGAGTAGAAGTGAAAAGAAGAATTATCTGTAAGTGCATCTCCTAAGTGAACATGAATACGTTTTCTCCTGATTAGTGCACAACTCTGAGGATGACTTATTTCTAATGCTCCCCCTTTCTTCATTCCACTGGGGATTGAACTCAAGGCTTTGCACATACTAGGAAGGTGCCCTGTCACTGAGCTACATTCATAGCCCTTTTTCATTTTTACAGGTGTGAGAACTGAGGTAACTTGTTCAAGTAAATTATTAAAAATGAATGGAATGAGTATCTAAGAAACAAGGTAAAACCACACAGTGGCCTGTTATCAAAACCCATTTCTTAGTCTGAAGTGATGTGCATGACTGTAGTTCCAGTACTTGGAAGACAGAAACAGGGGTGTTGTGGGTTATTAATATTTATTATTGATTTATCTGGAGTTAAACAATGGTTATTTCTGAAACAGCTGTATACCCAAATTGTGACACAGAGATTAGGATTTATTTGATTAACCTAGAGCACAATGCTGGGCAAGCCCGTAGAATTTCCTACCATTCAGATTTCACCCATTATACTTGCTTTTAGTCATATCTTAGGTCTGGTTCATCTCTCCACATGGTTCCAAGTCCTCTCTTGCCAACCCCTGCTCTCCTCTTCTCTTGCTTCCTTTTTCTCCCCTCCAGACCAGGATGTCCCACCCTATTCTCCCCATTGCACAGCAGTGGCTAGTTTTTTTTTTTTTTATTGGCAACACAGAGAACGAATGGTGGCAGGTTTACACAACTTGAGACAGGTGATGCTTATTCTAAGCATCACAATGCAATGTCCGGATTGAAACCAGAGAGTGGGGTAGAGAAATCAGCACTTGAATGAACAAGGGTACATTCCACAATAATATTATACCAACACAGGGGTATTTTAAGTTTCAGGCCAACATCAGCTATGTAGTTAAACTCTCTTAAAATGACTTTAAAGACATGAATATAGAAGGAGGACTACTGGAGAAGAGGAAGAAGATCAACAGAAGTGATGGGGTTAGAGGATAATGGGTAAATATGATCAAAATACATTATATACATTTATATATCCATAAAACTAATTGTGTATGGACTAATGAAAAAATAGAAGACAGAACTAAAAAAATCTTTAACTAATGTCATTTTCAATGATTTAAAAATTAGTACATCTTAAAGTGGGAAATAGTAAGATCTGGAGAGGACAGGAGTTCCACAAGGAAAGCAACAGAACCAAAAAATTTGAGCACAGAGGTCTTTCCTGAGACTCATACTCCAAGCAAGGACTATTCATGGAGATAACCTAGAACCCCTGCACAGATATAGCCCATGGCAGTTTAGTGTCCAAGTGGGTTCCATAGTAATGGGAAGAGGGACTGCCTCAGACATGAACTGATTGGCCTGCTCTTTGATCACCTCACCCTGAGGGGGGAGCAGCCTTACCAGGCCACAGAGGAAGACAATATAGCCACTTCTGATGAGATCTGATAGACTAGGATCAGAAGGAAGGAGAGGAAGACTTGGGGAGGGGCATTCGTGAAGAAGGGGGAGGGAAGGTGGAATTGGGAGGGGAGGAGGATGGGGCTTATGGGGAGATACAAAGTGAATAAAGTGTAATTAATAAAAAATTTAAAAAAAGAAAGTGCATCGATGGAATGCCACTATGCAGGGAACTATGAACAATATCCTAAGACAAGCAAAGTGTTTCTCAAAATCATATCAAACACTTATTTCACATTCATGATAGAAATAAAACACAGTTGTTCCTTGTAAGTGATAATATGCGATCAATTCTACCTGTGTAATAGTAGGTTATTCTTGCTGGCAGAATTCAATAAAGTATAAATAAACTTAACCCCCCAAAATTAACACATCTTAAATAGATAGCAGTACATTTAAAATAAGTAGTAGTATCTCTATTTCATGAAAACAAAGGACCCCATGATGCATTAAATGATGCATTGGAGAGACTGATGTTTTTAATTTCTAGGAAGCTTATCAGAATGGCTTTACCAATATTTACTAAATGACTATGGGATTCATTATACTTTGATTTGGGGACATTTATTTTAACCAACTACCCTTACAAAAGATTAAGAGAATAAAATACATATGTTTGCTAAAATGATAATTTGAATAAACTGCTTTGAATTTATTATATACTTTATATATAAAAGTTTGAAAGTACTTTTCTGAATCAATTTAATTGAAAATGTTCAATTATAGTTTAATTGGAAAAGACATAATTCATGTCAAGTTAATTAGGAAAATCTGTTTTACTTTTGAGAATATCAGACTTAAATTTTAAATAAAAAAACATGAATACATATTTTAGTATAGTTATCAAAACCACAGAGAAATTAAGGAATACTTACTGATAGATAACAAATATCAGATTAAGATAACAGTAATAGGGCTGGAGAGATGGCTCAGAGGTTAAGAACACTCGCTGTTCTTCCAGAGGTTCTGAGTTCAATTCCCAGCAACCACATGGTGGCTCACAACCATCTATAGTAAGATCTGGTGGGCAGGAAGAATGTTGTATAGATAATAAATAAGGCTTTTGAAAAAAAAAAAGGATAACAGTGATATATTTTATCCACTTTTAAATCATTTTAGTTCTAGTATGCCATTTTAAATTAAAGAATGTAAAATATAACTGATATATGACATATGACTCAGTGAATATGATCTCATATATAATATCCTTGGATAAACAGAAGGGTATATTTTGTTAAAACTAACTAGCTTTTTAGTTTTATAATGCAATGTAGACAATGAGTTAATTTGAAGATAAAATAACTGATTTTAGTTGGAAAAGATATTACATAATACAAACAGAAAAGTTTTAATTTAAGTTTAAAAATTAACATTTTCTATGCATAAATTTTGCCAGTATAAACATTTTTTAGTGCTGGAGAACATCCAGTTAAAAGAATTACACTTAGAAGTTACAGGTAAAACTATCGACTAGTGGTAGATACTGTTGTTCATTAGGTTTTTTTGTTTGTTTGTTTGTTTCCTATTGAAAACACATTAGCGGAAGGAAGGAGAAGAGGACCTCCCTTATCAGTGGAGTTGGAGAGGGTCATGCGTGAAGAAGGGGGAGGGAGGGTGGGATCGGGAGGGGAGGAGGGAGGGGCTTATGGGGGGATACAAAGTGAATAAAGTGTAATTAATAAAAAAATCAAAATAATAAAAAGGAAAACACATTAGGGATTGTACTGATGATAGCTGAAAAAATAATGTTTAATTTTAACATTTTGGGTGAAATTGTTCCCATGTGTATAATTTTTGGGAGACAAAACATATGAAAGTTGAATATCTGAAAGTAGATGCTCTGATACCACCCCTGCTGCAGTAGCCAGTCTCCCAGCAAGCTTAGTCTAGAGCAATATGTTATTACCATTTTTTAAATTTTTTTTAAAAATTTTATTTATATATTTATTTATTATAATATATTCACTTTGTATCCCTGCTGCAGCCCCTACCTTTGTCTCCTCCCAGTCCGACCTACCCTCCCTTTTCTCCCTCTATAATCTTTCCCTCGTCACCTGATAGAGGAGGATAGATATAAGGGGAGTCACCTTCTATCTTACCCTAACCTATCAGTTTTCATCAGGGCTGGCTGCATCATCTTTTTCTGTGGCCTGGAAAGGCTGCACCTACTCCAGAGGGTGGTGATGAAAGAGCCTGCCACTGAATTCATGTGAGGGACAAACCCTGTAAGCTTAGTAGGGAACCCACTTGGAAACTGAGCAGCTCATGGGCTTCCTTTAAACAGGGGGTCTAGTTCCTCTCCATGCATGGTCCTTAGTTGGAATATCAGTCTCTCCAGAACCTCTGGGGCCAGGTATTTTGGCTCTGTTGTTCTCCCTGTAGAGTTCCTGTCCTCTCCAGGTCTTTCTATATCCCTCTTCTTCCATAAGGATTCTGACACTCTGCCCAAAGTTTGGCTATGAGTCTGTGTCTCTCCTTGATACCCTGGTGGGTAGAGTTTTTCAGAAGTCTTCTGTGGAAGGCTCCTTTACTGTTCCTTGTCTTCTACTTCTGATGTATACCCTGTATGGCCTTCTGAATGAGGATTAAGCCTCTTCCCTAGGGATTTCCTTGTTGTTTAACTTCTTTAGGAATATAGATTTTATTATGTTTATCCTATATTATACAGCTAATATCTACATATAAGTGAGTATATATCATTTATGTCTTTTTACTTCTGGGTTACCTCACTCAAGATGATCTATTCTAGTTCCCACTATTTGCCTGCAAATTTCATGATTTCCTTGTTTTTAATAGC